AAAAAAAAAAAAAAAAAAGGACAAGAAAGAAAATTTGTAGTTGATATAGCCTTCCCAAAAAGAAAAGTATAGGCCCAGATGTTTTCAATGGTGAGTTCTACCAAACATTTAAGGAGGAAGGAATACCAATTCTACACAACATCTTTCAGAAAATACAAGAAGAGGGAGAACTTCTGATTTCATTTTATGAGGCCAGCACTATGCTAATATCAAAACCAAAGATAGTATAAAAAAGGAAAACTGCAGACCAATATCCCCCATGGACAGAGACACAAATATCTTCAGCAAAACTATCAGCAAAGCAAATCCAGAAATATATGAAAAGAATAATATGTTACAACCAACTGAAGTTTATTCCAGAAGTTCAAGGTTGGTTCAACATTCAAAATCAAGCAGCATAATTCACCATAGTAACAGACTAAAAAATAAAAAACATATCATTTTTATAGATGCAGGAAATGCAACAAAATCCCACTCATGAGAAGAAGCCTCAGGAAACTAGCAATATGGGGGAACTTCCTCAATTTGGTAAAAGGTGCCTACAAAAAGCCTACAGCTAACATACTTAAAAGGTGAAAAATGGAATGCTTTCCCTCTAAAATCAAGAAAAAGTCAAGGATGTCTGCTCTCGTCATTTCTATGCAACATTTATAGTATTGCAGGTTGCAACAGATAAGGCTATTAGAACTAATAAGTGAGTTTAGCAAGGCTATGGGATATGAGGCCAGTGAAATCAATTGACAAACCAATTCTAAAATTGTTATAGAAAAACAAGGGACCTAAAATAGCCAAAACAACTCTGAGAAAGAAAAAGTCTGAGGGCTAAAATAACCTGATTTCCAGAATTACTGTAAGGCTACAGTCATTAGTCATTAAACAGCATGTTGTTGGCATAGAACAAATAGATCAATGGAACAGACTAGAGAATCCAGAAATAGATCTACATGGATATGGTAAATGGATTTTCTTTTTTTTTTTTTTTTTGAGACAGTTTTGCTCTTGTCTCCCAGGCTGGAGTGCAGTGGTGTCATCTCAGCTCACTGCAACCTCCACCTCCAGGGTTCAAGCGATTCTCCTGCCTCAGCCTCCCAAGTAGCTGGGATTACAGGCGCCCACCACAAATTTGTAAAAATACAAATTTGTAAAAATACAATTTTTTTGGTATTTTTAGTAGATACAGAGTTTCACCTTGTTGGCCAGGCTGGTCTCGAATTCCTGACCTTAGGTGATCCTTCAGCCTCAGACTCCCAAAGTGCTGGGATTATAGGAGTGAGCCACTGTGCCCTTCAGGTAAATTGATTTTTGATGATGTTTCAAAAGTAAATCAATGGAATAAAGGAAGTCTACTCAATAAATAGTACTGGAACAAATGAAATTGGTATGCAAGAAAAGAAACCATGATATAAACCTCACAGCTTTTATAAAATTTACTCAAAATGGATCATAGATCTAAATATAAAATGTAAATATATAAAACTTTCAGAGACCAGGTGCATTGGCTCACACCTATAATCCCAGCACTTTAGAAGGCCAAGGTGGAAGGATCGCTTGAGGCCAAGAGTTGGAGACCAGCCTGTGGGCAACATGGAGAAATCCTGTCCTCTCTACAAAAAATACAACAATTAGCAGTGTGTGGTGGGGAGCAGCTATAGTACCAGCTGCTCAGGAGACTGAAGCGGGAGGATCACTTGAGCCCGAGAAGTCAAGGCTGCAGTGAGCCATGACCATGCCACTGCACTCCAGCCTGGGTGACAAAGTGAGACCCTGTCTCGAAAAGGAAAGAAAAACAAAACAACTTATAGAAAAAACAGAAAAAAATCTTCAGGATCTTAGGCTAGATGAAGAGTTGTTAGATTTGACATTAAATCCATGATTCATAAAATAAAAATTGTATTGGGGATTTCATTAAAATTTTTAAATTTTAGTTCTTCAAAAGAGAATGAAAAGACAAAAACTATGGGCTGCTAGAAAATATTTGCAAATTAAATATGCAACAAAGAACCTATATCCAGTGACAAAAACAGTGCCTGGCTCTTGTCATTGTTTTGAAAACTAAATGAGTTAATACAAGTTCTTAGTGTAGTGCCAGGCACATATAAACATTCAATAAAAGTGAACTATTATAGCTTTATTATCACTGTTATTATAGGATTCTTTAAAATTGATAAAATAGATGCAAGCCAAATGTTCACCAATAGAGAAATTGTTATATTATATGTATTACAAGGAATATTTGACAATGCTTTAAAGAACGAAGTAAATCTATATGTACTAACCTGGAAAGGTGTCCAGAATTTTTGTGAACAAAGCAAATTGCAGGACAGATAGTATAATATGATCCCAGTTGTGAAAAAAGAAAATTATATATTTTCTGAAAAATTTTGTAGAATGGTACTCACTAAACGGCTAACAGTTGTTATCCCTGGGTTGGGGAGTATGGAATAAGGAGGAGAGCAAAGGGAAAGCAGGGGGTAGGGGAAATATAAAGGGGGTCTTCATGTTTCATTCTATTTATTAACATAAGAATATATTTATTGTGAAACAAAAAATACAAATGAAAATAATTATCTTTTAAAAGACCAATGATAAAAAATAACTTTCTGATTGTCTTCGCTGATGGATTCAAGTGGATGAAGTACAAGCCTACTGTGGACTGAAAGGTTTGCCTAAAAACTGCCTGAGCTTCCATTTGTAATAGGAAACATTGATGGAGTGCTGCTTGCTGGCCTGACAGCATGAAGAACTGAGTTATTGTCCTGGTTGTGCCAATAACTAGTTTTGCTATGTTATTATTATAAATGTTAAACTATAAACTGGAATCAAGTCTTTTTTTTCTGTCTTCCCAGCCTGTAACACAGGGCCTAGTTCGGAGTTAGCGCTCCGTTAACAGGAGGGAGTGACAGGAATTGAATTTAAGCAGCTGCAACAGCCCTGTCCAGGCCCCGTCGAAGCGACACATGATCACCATCTAGTGGTAAAAAGGATTCCTGCAAAATTTAGCTATGAAAGGAAAAAGAATTCTTTCTGTGGTGTGTTCCAGGGACAGATGCCAGTCAGCAAAAAAAGCATTGACTATCTATGATCTTTCTTAGAGAGAGTTCCCAACCATCAAGGTTTATGTCTTGGAGTGTTGGTAAGATGATGCCTAGGTACTCTTGTGTCTTAAGTCTGGTCCCTGCCCCATCATCACACGCCCCACATATCTCTAAGTCGCACGGTGTCCACTCCTGCCACATCCCCTACAGGAGGGAACCCCATGTGATAATAGGCACACACACCCACGCCTTCCCAAAGCTGATGAAATACTAGTCAACTTCCCTAAGCCAGTCTGCTTAAGATACAAAAAAAGACTGGGGAATAAAATACGCTATAATCTTTGCCCTCCAGGTCCACCATCTTTCTGTATCATCTACTAAAACTGTATAGTGAACCTTCAAAATGCCTGTCATTCCAAAGGACAACAAGGAAACCCATCTTGAGCCAACATTTCAAGCACTGCTGTGTGACAAAAGCCTCACCTGCTCATGCAGGTGATGGGAGCAGCTTTTCTTCTCTTGCCTCCTTTGAGTAGCTTCACAGTTAAGGAAGCAGCTGGATAATGCAGAGGCCAAGAGATATTGGACCCTGTGCTTATGGACTCCTGGACTCAAAAGCAAATGATGCAGGGACACACTGGCACTTAGAGAAATCTCAGTATTTATACACCCCTGATATTCACATGCTAAATAGAACAACCTTCCTCTAAAATTCTGTTCTGCAGAACAAACAACAAAAATCTTTTCAAAGACCCTTAAGAGAGAAACAAACACTGTCTAGCCTGGGGTGAATGGGAAAAGAAGGTTTGAGCAACTCTATGTTCAGGAAAATCTCCTGCCACATATTCTGGAAGTATTCATACATTATTAAAGTCATTTTATAATCCCATCTCTTGACCTTCCACACAATATGTGCCTCATGTATGTGGGAACAAAACCAGTTGTGAAATTTGGCCAAAAGAGGACAGCAGTTTGAGAGCATTGTATAGACAAGAGCACAAGGCTAAACCACATTTGGGTGGGCGCAGACATGGGCGAGTTTGTTCCTACCACCGTGCAGTGAAGTTGCAGAGAAATTAGGAATTAAGAACAAGATGATTCCATCCAGCTACTCCCAGCCTAAAAAAAGCAAGAAGCCCTAATATCTATTTATATGCAACTCCCTGGGGACTGAAGTGGTTCTTCCTAATGGCTGAAAAATACTGAGTAGCAATCAGGTCTTTAAGCAGAATGTTTTTAAAACCTTATCGTGAGGACGCTGATGGAGATAACGAACTTTTGAGGTGTCGATAGCACATCTTAAAACAGTAATGGAATATGTTGGAAGATATGCTCTTCCAAGTATTCCTAATTTCATACTAGTAAAAGTCAATTGTCCTGCTGGCACTATAAAAGCGCGGTGTCAGCATTAAGAAGAAGCTGAAACGGGTTACACGATGAGAAACGAGTTACACTGTGTAGGGTTCCAGACAGCAGTGTCCGATGACAGCTACAAGAGCAGCACTCCGCACTCCTTACGGTCCTGGGGGAATGCAGGCAACTCCCCTCCGGCTGTCAGCCTCCCTATCCCGTGCCGCGTCCCCCTCGCAGGGCAATGGGTGTCAGAGCCACCCCCCGCCAAAGAAAGGGGCACGCTTTCGAGATGTCACCCTGGCCGCTCCTGCACGGAGACTGGTGCCTGAGGTTTCAGCCCCAACCCGCCTCCCTCCGCTAGAGTCAGCGGCGGTCTGGAGTCCCTGAGACCCGCGGGCAGGCGCCACCTGGTCTCTGGCCCGCTGCCTAGCACAGCGGCGAAGCTGGCTCGACGTGCGATTTCGCTTTCCGTCCATCGGCCTCGCCCGCAGTCCCGGGCGCTGGGAGCGGCTGCGCCTGGCGCGCCCAGAGCCCCGCGGCTTCCCCGCGGCCGCCCCGCGGGCGGGTGCCCCGGGAAGCGAAGGCCGGGCGGGTGGCGGCGCCCCTACTCACGTAGCGCTGTAGCTTCCTCTCGGGGGGCGACTTAACGAGCCAGCCGGTGCACACTGCGTCGCCCGCACTCATCGTGGCCGCCGCCGCCGCTTCCTCCAGCTGGGCCAGCCGCCCGCTGCAGAAGGAAGTCGAGCCAAGGATGCCGGCGGGGCGGGCCCAGAGCCCGCCCGCCCAGCGCCGCCCCAAGCGGCCGCTGCGACCCCCGCCTCCGGCCGCTGCGGCCCCCGGGGAGGGAACCGACGCCGCCCGCCACCCAAGACGGCGGGAAAAGCAGGCAGCGAAGCCTGGGAAGCCCCTTCGAGCAAGTGCAGCGCCGCCAGCGGCTGTGCCCAGGGGAGCCTATGCAGCAGGGCGCCTGCCACTCTCACCCAGGGTCACGAAAAAGCGCTCGGAAGGAGCCCTGCGACCTAATGGGAGCACAGCCTGGAACCTGTTGCCCTCAGGCCCCATCCCCAATCAGCCACGCCAAACGGGATGGTCCCTGGGCCTCAGGGACCCTGGAGCCGAAACCGACGTACCACCCACAACTGCCATGTGCATAGTTCACGGAGAAACAAAAGCACGACTCCTCTTTGACTTCCCTATTCCACTTAATTGTTTGCAGAGTACTGTGTTTTCTATGTCCCTCCCCCAAACATCGTTGTATTGAGTGATAAGCTTTGCTGGCTAAACGGTCTAAATGTCTTAATGAACCTAAATGACCCAAACTCAAAAGTGCTGTTTGCAGTCTCTTTGACTCTAAGGTTTTAAAAGATGGATCTAAAGTTGATTGTGCCAACTAGTGTGCTGACCACGCTAAATAAAAATAACAATCATGAGCACCTAACACTTGTGACCTTCCTTACTGCCAAGCGAACACCATGCCAGCGATTGTGCTAAAGCACTTTACAGGCGTTATCTCATTGAATCCACACAAACACCCTGTCAAAGGGCTCTTATTATTATCTCAATTTTGCAGATTACTAAAATGAAAAACAGGATGATAGTGTCACTTGTCAAGAGCCACACAACTAGAAAATCATCCATAGGAAGCCAGAGCTGTGCCAAGAGCCCATCCACTTAAGCACCACCCTCTGCTTTTTGTGGGCATCATCTGTGTGACGTTTGCTAGCATCTTCAACAAAATGACCATCCTACCATCCTATCAGGCCAGGTGCTTCAGGGTGATGAGCTAACATGGTAACACTAGTGGAGTCCATCAGCATGCGCACACTGGCTTATAATGATTTTCTTGTGTGAGATAATGTCAGTGTGAATAATGGGTTCAGTAAGTCAATGGGTGGGAGTGCCAGCAGAAATGTGAATTTTTAAAAAGCGAATCCATGTACAAAATTATACCTGTTCAAGTGAGAACAAATTGCTGCCCCTTCCAGATGGCAGTCCAGGTGGCTGGCTGGTCCCTCCAGGGAATGCTATGTTATTAGGGGTTCATTGTTTGTCTCTGCCTGTGGGCAGCTTGAGCACTTAGCAGTGGTTGTGGCCATATCAACTGTTGCCAGTCCCTGAGAGCCCCGCTATGCATTGCTAATTATCTAAGTCTTGCTCACACCTGTGTTTAAAAACAAAATCCCTTAATTATACTTTCCTCATTTCAACCCCTTGAGTCTACCATTTGCTTCCTTTTGAAACCTTGACCAATAGACCTGGTCATGAGGAACTCCCTATGACATTCTAGGTGTGAGTCCAGGGAATGGTGATCATGCAGCAGCAGGGGCCACAGAGATGTGAGCCACCTGCTCAAGCAACTTTCCTGTACCTTCCAGACCTGCTTGAGTCTGGTCTCAAATATTCCACTTCCAATAGAAGACCAAGTAGCACCAAACGTATCAGGGGCAGCCGAAGTTACATGGTTCTTTGGTGCCCCACGGTCAAGCATTCAGACTTTGCCACAGCCCAGGAGCAAGCTGGAAGCTGTTGGTCAAAAGGAAAATACTTCTTTTGTGGTTGAGGGCATGGTTTACTTCAAAACTCTAGGGGTTTGCTCTATGTTTCTCCTATTGGGACTTGCCAGAGGCTTCATGTAGCCTCCCAATGTGTCAAAGGTTCTGTACCTGTTGAATCTACATAGTCATAAGGGTCAAGTGGCCTGGACCTGTCACAGAGCCTTTTTTTGCCCTGGATCTCTCCCTGAAAACATGCAACCCTACAGATTACTTGCTGAGTGCATTGGTGCGGCACAATTAAGTGTAGCATATGTTGCCTACAAAATTCAAACACCCACACCAAATGCTGTGCCTCTTTCTGAGTGGTAGGTGGTATGAGGTACAACAACATGTTGAATACCCAACGTGGTCCAGACCATCTAAAAACTTTGCTGAGGTTCAGGCTCTTGAGTTTTCATGGGGCTTATCACCCGCCCTGTGGTGTACTTGTATCTTAATAAAGCATCTAGAGTATTTGCTACCTCTTGATCATCAGGTCCAGTACATATGTCATCAGTGTAATAAACCAGCACGACATTCACAACAATCAAATTCCATTCAACGTGGATTATGACAGTGAGCCAGAGAATAGATACAGCCCTAAAGTTGTACTTCTGTTCCTGCCAGATGAAAGTAAGCTGCTTCTAGTGTTCTCTGCTGAATGGGAAAAAATAACATTTGGCAGATGGATAGTTGTATCCCAGGTGCCAGGGGCCTGTGTTGATTTGCTGTAGGAAAACAGCATCATCTGGAATAGCAGCTTCAGTTCGAATCACAACCTGATTAATTCTACAATTACCCACTATTAATCTCCAAACTAGCCAGATGGGTTAAATAAAGATGTGATATGAGTAATTATTCCTGTATCTTTTAGGGTACACTGTTCTCCCTGCAGGAGAAATTGAAATTGTTCCTTCATGGAAACCCATCCCAGTTTCTCTGCACTCTAGCCTGGGAAGAGGAGAGAATTTGAATAGCAAGTGATTTTTGGCACCTGAATTCCCTTTGTGGCTTCCCCATTTATTTTTTATTTAAAATAGACTTTGTTTCACAGTTCATTAAACTTCTGTAAATCTTATAACTACAAACTTGTGAAAATAAATGCCCACTATTACAGAAGAGTTTCTATCTCAATTACATCATGATGAGTCAAAGTGGCTATGCATCTAACTTATTCGCTATGAAAAGAAAATTTGAAAAGAAAATTCTGGATCACAGACAGGCATGGGAAACAGTTTCACATGTGTGTGAAAGCCAATAATGAGGGAAAGGACTGCACTTTCCTATATCTCCCACCTCCCACCCACCTCTTGATTTAATAAATCGAAGAAGTATGTGAATTAAAGGCCTGGAGTGCCATGGCACAAGCTCAGATAGGGGAACACTCTTTTGCCTAGATAGGCATCCATAAAGGACTTCTCTAAGAGTTAAAATCATCTAATTTTCATCTGGAATATGAAATTTGACTTTATTATTATCAATGATAGTCTTTCATCATATCCATTATTGTTGTATTTAAAATTGCCCAAAATTGGTCAGGTATGGTGATTCACACCTGTAATCCCAGCCCTGTGGGAGGATGAGGCAGGAGGATCCCTTGAGCTCAGGAGTTTGAGACCAGCCTGAGCAACATAGGAAGACTCCATCGCTAAACAAACAAACAAACAAATAAATAAAAGATTGCACAAAATTGTTGTCATAAGTCCAAATCAAATACTTCTCAATTGATTCCATAAAGCCAGTATTACTCTGATACTTCCAAAACCAGAAAAAGTTAAAGAAAGAAGGCTATATGCCAATATGCCTCATGAATATAGACACAAAAATCCTTAGAAAAATATTAGCAAATAGAATCCACAAATACATAAAAAGAATTATACACCATGCGTCTCAAGATGCAAGGCTTGTTCAATATTTGAAAACCAATTAATGCAATACAGTACATTAACAGACAAAAAAAGAAAAATCACATGATTTATCAGTTGATGCAGAACAAGCATTTGACAGAATTCATGACAAAAACTCTCAGAAAACTCTCAGAAAATGGGGGAATTTCCTCAATTTATTAAAGAACATCTGCAGAAGACCTACAGGTAACATCATACTTACTGGTGAAAACCTGGACAGTTTCCCCCTAAGACTGGGGAACAAGGCAAGGATATCCACTCTCCCCACTTGTATTCAACATAGTACTAGAAGTCCTAGTTCAGTACAATAAGATAATAAAAAGAAACAAATTGCATAAAGATTGGGAAGAAAATGTCTCAATTTGCAGAACATAATTGTCTCCACAGAAAATCTCAAGGAATATGCAAAAACAACTCCCCAAACTAATAAGTGAGTTTTGCAAGGTTGCAGGATAGAAGGTCAACATATAAATCTCTTTATACAATTTCAAGGCTTATTATAAAGCTACAGTAATCAAAACTTTTTGTATTGGTGAAAGGATAGACATATAGATAAATGGTATGGAATAGAGAGCCTGGAGATAGGCTCACATAAATTCGTCCAACTGGTTTTTGACAAAGGTGCAAAAGCCATTCAATGGAGGAAGGATAGTCTTTTCAACAGACTGCAGCAACTGGACGTCCATAGGCCAAAACCAAACAAAATACCTCAACCCAATCCTCACACCTGATACAAAAATGAACTCAAAATGGATCCGAGATTTAAATATAAAATGTAAAACTACAAAACTTTTAGAAGATAAAATAGGAGAAAATCTTTGGGACCTACGACGGTGATGAGTTCTTAGACATGGCACCAAAAATACAATCCATAAAAGAAAAACCTGAGGCCAAGTGCACTGGCTTATGCCTGTAATCCCAGCACTTTGGGAGGCCAAAACAGGAAGATCACTTGAGCCCAACAGTCTGAGACCAGCCTGAGCAACAAAGATAGACAGCGTCTCTACACCAATTTTTTTTTTTTAATTAGCCAGGTGTGGTGGTGCACACCTGTAGTCCCTGCTACTCAGGAGATTGATGCGGGAAGATGGCTTCAGCCCAGGAGATTGAGGCAACAGTGAGTCACAGAGCGAGATCTTGCCTCCCCCCTCAAAAAAAAAAGAAGAGAAAAAAGTGATAAATTCGACTGCATCAAAATTAAAACTTGTGCTCTACAAAATACCTTGTTAAGAAGCATAAAAAGACAGCCAGGCATGGTGGCTCACACCTGTAATCCCAGCACTTTGGGAGACCAAGGCTGGTGAATCACCTGAGGTCAGGA